GGGCGCATTCGCGCAAGCACCCCGGGGTGGTGCAGCGCCACGCCGTGAGCCATTCCGAGAGGGAGTGGCCCCGTCGCGAGTCGCTCTTGGCCGACACGAAGACGGGGGAGAGCCGGCCAGGCATGGCTGGGACACAGCATTTGGGCCATGAATGGCGCCTGCTGAAGGAGGATATGCCCGACAGTCTCTCGGCCAAGACACAGGAGGGGAGGCGCAAGATCGAGCAGTACGTGCGAGCGGGGCAGCGGCGCAGGCTGGAGTCCACCCAGGATAGGCGGCCTGCATTCATTTTGCAGGGCGGCCGTCCACTGTGCAGCGCAAGTGGGGGAGGACACGGTCGCGGACGTCTCAGACACGAAGTTTGCCGACGAGGCGGCCGCTCCGCCTCTTCAGCGGTTTCAGAGCCGGTTGGGCGCGCCCAGGGCGGTTTCAGAGCCGGTTGGGCAGGGCGCCCCAGACACGGCCCCGCGGGTGCTTGGCGTCGTCGGGGGCTCTTCAGAGCCCTTGCCGCCGCCGCCGCCGCCGTCACCGCCGCGGGCGCCGCGCCCGGCGCGCCGCCCAGACTGCGGCTCGTGCGACGGGCACAGGGCCAAGGTCTCGTGGTGCTTGAAACGGACGATTCTGCGCGCGTGCGCGTGCGCGTTTGCGCGTGCGTGCGTGCGCGCGCGTGCGCGTGCCGATCCCCCTGGCGCGCCACGTCCTGAAGCTCCGCAGAAACATCAGACCGTGAGCCGCGGGCCACTGAGGCCCCCAACAGCTAGTCAGACTCGCGCCGACTAGCAGGCTAAGCCCCCAGGCTCGCACCCGAGGTGGGATGGAGGCCTTGCAGGAGCTTCTCGCGGCGTCTGCGCCGCTCGCGCTCCGCAGGGCTACACCTGTCGAGAGGCGGGAGGGGGCCCGGGCACAAGTCCTTCAGCCTCTTGGCACCCCTCTCTGCGGAGACGCACGCCCCGCACCGCCTGCACAGCACAAACGGGCTGCGCAAGACCAGCTCATGGGCGTCATCCGCCACGGGGCTGGGGTCTGCAGGAAGACCTGCCGGAGGCTGCTCCGGGCCTCGTCCAGCACCGCCCTCCCCCACACTCACCGCCCCCCCCCACCCTCGACTGAAGCAGCAGCGGGCGGCGGCGCTAGAGGAGGGGAAGCAGAATTGCTCTTTTCCCTCGACGGCGGCGCCATGCGCGCACGACGCTGCAAGGCTCTAAGTGGCGCCTCGTTCACCTCGGACGCCGCCTGCCGGAGGTCGCACCCCGCGAGGCTGCGGGAGGAGTCGGAGGTTCCACCAACGACCTGCCTTGCAGAAGCGGCCATTAAGGAAAAAGCCGGTCTTAAGTAACGTTTCCGCCCCTCGCTCTCGACAGCGCCATCCTCGGCCGGCAGCTCCCCGGGCTGGTGCGCCGCGGCCGCTCCTCTGAGGCGCGGGAGCTCCCGGGAGGCTTGGGGGCTTTCCAGCAGCTCCGTCAGCATCATCTGGTGCCCTTTTCCTGCCGACGCGACGCGGCCTAGCCGCTGCTGGCGGAGCAGCGGCAGCCGACGCCTGCCCAGCCGCAGCCACGGCGGCCCCGGCAGCCAGCGCCCCGGCCAGTGCTGGCACCTCCATGCTGCGGCCAGCGCTGACGTCTGCAGCATCATCGTCTCCCCGGCTGGCGTTGCCTCTGCCAGCCACGCCATCAGCATCACCTCCAGCCGGCGCTGCACGGGGGCGCGCCGCGGACGCCATAGCCTGCTCCGCCTCGGGGAGCGCCTCGGGCTCCGCCTCTGCAGGCACCAGTCCGGACGTCCAGACCGTTACGGGGCCTGCCGCCTCCACGAGCATCAGCTCGTCGTCCGCAAGCTCCTCAATCAGCCCGGCACTGGCCTGGGCAGCATCCTGCGGCGGCGTCTCCAGGGCGAGCGCACCCAGCGCGAGCCACCCGTCACCCCCGCCCGACAGCGGGGCGGGGGCGCCCACCGTGGGCGCCATGCCAGGTCCCCGAGCGGCCTCCAATAGGTACTTCACCTTGCGCTGCTGGGCCCCTCGCTGGTCATCGCCCTCGGCCTGGTCGCCGAAATAATGAGAGGGCGTCGTGCTCCCGCTGACCCTGCTTGCTGCAGCCGCCTGCAACCGGGAGAGCGCCGTGGCCCTGCAGGGCTGGCAGTCGAGCCGGCGCTTGCTCTCGTAGGTCGCTGCCGTGCAATTGCACCGCATGCAGCGGATGGTGCCGTTCTCCTCCACGTAGTCGTGTTGGATGATGATAATTTGCGGAGTTCGGGCCGCCTTGACACGAGGCGGCAGCTTCGGCTCGTGCTCCTGAGGTTCCCACGCCTGGGTCTCAGAAGTGCGGCAGACTCCCCAAGCCATGAACTTCGCCATGTTGATCGCGTCTTCCATGCGGCGCTGGAGCGTCTTCGCGAAGTCCGGGGAGATGGCGACCGAGCTGACGCCCAGCTGCGCGAACCAATCGGCCCAACGATTGCCTATCCAATGCATCGGGTCGATGTCGGTGCGCCCCATCAGATCCTCCACCGTCTTGTGCGCAGGGCGCGCGTGTGCGTGTGCGTGTGCGTGTGCGTGTGCGTGTGCGTGTGCGTGTGCGTGTGCGTGTGCGTGTGTGTGTGTGTGTGTGTGTGTGTGCGTTCGTGTGCGTGTGTGTGTGTGTGCGTTCGTGTGTGCGTGTGTGTGTGTGTGTGAATGTGTGAATGTGTGAATGTGTGAATGTGTGAATGTGTGAATGTGTGAATGTGTGAATGTGTGTGTGTGCGTTTGTGTGTGTTTCTCGTGCGCGTGCATACCTGCGTGTGCACGCTCCCACATTCACCTTGACGGACCTAGGTAGAGCGGCGTGGCGGCCCCTTCGAGGGCCACGGCGACCCCTCAGGTTCCCCAGCTGAGCTTTGAGGAGATATACAAACAAAGAGCTAAAGATAACCCACATGTGGTAAACAGCGAAGAGTTGGCTAAATGTAGAAACGCCAATTGAGATGTGCCCCCCCCTCCTTCCTCCTCCCTCCTCCTTCCCCCTCCTCCATCCTTCCTCCCTCCTCCCCCCTCCTTCCTCCCTCCTCCCTCCCTCCTTCCTCCCTCCTCTCCCTCCTTCCTCCCTCCTCCTCCCTCCTTCGTCCCCCT